TGACGCACAACCGAAGGACTACGGAAAATAAATACATGCTTGCTCGCTAGAGACACTGCCCAAGCTTGAGATCTACAGGCTTCAAAGTTATAACACATTTTGTGGCAAATGTAGACGCCGCCGTCGTTGTACAGAAGTCACTAAGCAAAAATATTGCAACCGACCGCACAAAGTGTGCTGTGATCGACACTGGTAGCTGCTGCATTGTGGAAAGGCATGTTTAAGGAAATTTGCCTTCGCCCAGTGTGCTCCACAATGTTTGCAAAAGGTTCTCTTCTTTCAGTGGAATTCATATAGGAGACACGTGTGAGGAGATGTGTGCTTTGGTAGAACGACTGTGCTACATGTTGCATATGTTGAATGGGGACAGATACGTATGTGCATTTGTTTGGCTGAAACGTTTGCGGTAAAGAAGCGAAAGTATGTAGTACGCAACCTGTTCTCTAGTGGCGCGAAGGGTACACCTACAGTGGCTTAAAGGGGGTAGTGTAGTTATCGCGTAGCCTCCACCACGCATCGGGAACGGCCGCTCCTTGGAAGACGATGTAGGTGGCGCTTTGATCCGCAGCTCCGTTGGGTGCTTCAATCGGCCGGCAAATAGAGGCACCCTAACACGCTCTGTAACTGACATAAATACATCAAAAACAATTATTTGTTTCCAGTAAACTTCCAACGACATGATTTGTGTTTGAAGGTGAATGAAAAATGTGAAACTAGCAGACGACAGTGTAGTCGAGAGCTGCGAATCGGCCGAAGCTTGCCGGAGCCAGGCTGACCAAGCGGCCAAGCCAGAGCCATAGCCGGAACGACGGTGCTGCAAGCGCCAACGCCACCCGCGGCCGTCTTCCAACGCTGTGCCGCTTCTCCGGTCTCGTTCGTCAAACTAACCCCTTTAAGCCACTGTAGCACACCACAACGGAACCTGGGCGGCGCTCGTGGGGAGGCGAGGGAGCGTGTCCGGAAATCGCGATTACGTGGCTATTTCTCAGCGGCGGCTGCCGGAAGGTTTGGATTTTTTGGTACAGCGCAACACCTCAAGCTAAAGCCGTAGTGCATCCAAGTAGTAACGTCACATCGGCCGGAGAAGGGAGGCCACGTTGTGAAAAGGTGCAAACTCTGGTTCTCTTGACCACGACCCAGTCGTCTGCTCACTCAGGTCACGTGGTTTGTTCGTGCGAATTCATCCGGCACTGATATACGTTTCAAATACGCAGTATCGTATAATTTATTACATATATAAATATAATATAAATGTAGTTTAGAACGTTTTGGCAAGGTTGAAAGTACCGATTTTATATTTATGCTTATCCCGTAACCGCGGGATCACAGTGGAGTCCCGCTGCTCCCCAGACATTTCGAATGAACCGGCTCCGGCAGCGAATTTTCTTCCTTCATACATGCTCCGATTCTGGTAAGTTTACACTGTGTGCGAGCTACTGACGCTCTGAAAAGGAAAGCCGAGGCATTTCAGAAGAGAAGGAAACAACAACAAAAAAAAAAATTCCAGTCGCCGCCTCAGGGAGCGCAAACGAGCAAGAGATGGGTCGACGACGTTAAGCCTTTCGTCCCTCGCTTCTAGCTACTGATCTTGCGTGTTGTTCTTTTCTGTTTTTTTGATACTACGGAATTTACATTGATTCGCGGTCCTGCTGCGCTGTTAGTGACATGTGTGGCCAGTAGTCAACGATTACGCTGGTCGATTATCGATAAACCTCTTTCCCTCGACAGAGAGAGAGACAGTTTTTGGAGTTCGTGGCGGATATTGAAAGACGTACGGATACGATCGACATGCAAAAACAAAAACGTATTGAGGGGCTTCGTTGGTCATGTGGAACGCGAGTAGAGTTCTGGTCGGTTGCTTTAATCTTTTGATAGAATGGAATTTCGTTGTCCGTCGTTATTTGTAGGCAATTGCGTCGACATTTATAAATATGCGTGGCAACATTTAGTTTTTCACTGGAAGGTAAATACCAATCTTATATCTTCTTACTGAAAGTGAGTTGTATATACTGGTGTGTTTGTTTATAGCACTCGTATTTATTGCCTTTACCACGTTCATACTACGATCCTAGCTCTATTAAAGTAATAATATTATTGAATAAAAAGTAAATACTCTTTTGTTCTAAGGCAGCTTTAGTTCGAAAGAGAAAAATGGATTAGTTGATTATAAATAGTAGCTAAGTTTATTATTCCTGCCGCACAGGAAATTCAATATCTTTTCAGTAATTTATCTTATAGGTAGGGTTCCGCCGTTTTCGGTTTTGTATTTTTTCAAAATTCGGCGTACTTTTTCCGGTGTTTATTTGAAAATTCAATTTTCGGTTTTTTTGGCATATATTTATGCCCACAAATTTTATCGGCGTTTTTCGGTGAATATACAATAAACACCAACGGTCACCGGATCAGATGATTCTTGTAGCTCTCATAATTGTGATCATTCAAAGAATAACGGCACAGATACATTGAAGAAGAAATTGACACTTTATTTGGCAAATGTGTGCAACTGCAAAAGAAACAAGAAAAAACAGAAGTACAGACAAGTCAGATATAAAGCCTATTTCCCCCAAAAAATGGGACTTCACCGTCTGTACATCAGGGTTACGTGATCGTATTATAGTACACACACATGTACATTCCCAGGTTCTACTCGTTGATCCGCACTCTTTTTTCCCTGTTAATATGACCCTGAGCTTCGAGAATGCCCTCACAACGCTAACACTGGACATTGGCAGGCTGAGGATATGAAGAGCTGCCTGAGCCAAAATCGGCCAATCAACCAATTGTGACCACCAAAAGAGACACGGTGCGACGTTTTGAAGCACAACATAACATGCAGAGCTTGCATCAAGTCAGTCTTCCTTACAACGAGTTAAAAACACGCTCGGGTATGGGGAGTCATGGGGCATTTCAGACTTCACGTTCCGATCGATGATGCGGCACATTCAAAGCAAAACGTCGTGATGGCATCCGTGTATCCCATAAATTCGGGCACATTTCGATAGACACTGTCGTTCCACTTTTTCGCCACGGCTCTGCGGTACGACTGGAAGGTCAAAGTGAGCTTTTCCGGTTAAAACTGAATTTTAGAACATGAATGCGACGTATTTTTATCGGTTTAAATGGAAAATGCTGAGCCTAAAAACTGACCTTTTTCGGTTAAAACCGAATTTCTGAAAATGGATTCAGCGTAGTTTTATCGGTTTCTATCGGTTTAAACCGAAAACGCCGAACCCTAATTATAGGATTGCGTCAGCTCGCGTTCCCGTCGCGATCTCATTTTTCGACTCTATATTGTCATTCGATGAAAATTATATTAAGTTTGACAACTGGCCCTGGTATAATGCAAGAAATAAGTGAATGCACACTTTAACATCACTTGCATGATTGTAAGTGGCATTTGTCTGGCCTCGTCCACGTTGACTGCGTCCGCCTGATTTTTACAGTGATCCGTTTTGCTGTGTCCAATCACTGCGTGCCTCGCCATGTTGTCGAAGTAATTTTGTGTAAAATATGCATTTCTACAGCAAAAATATTGCGGCTCAATGTATTCGACTTATTAACTTTTTTTCTGCAGTCTTATGCGCATACCTCGTGTCAATTCATACCGAATATTAAGGGTAATCATTTTGTTCTCCATTTTGTTGTTAGCCCGAGACTCAGGCAGGAAAAGAGGAAAGTTTCAAAGTAGAAGAAAAATGAAAAGTCGAGGACACGTCTTTAACACAGCTAAAGACAAGTCTATTTGGTTCACCCTCTTATATGCACTCCACGAACTTCACCACAAAACCTTCTTGACCTTCTCGACCTCCAAAGCCAAAAGATAACAAAGGACTTATCTCTTTCCACCACAATTGTCAAAGAACCTTGACGTTTTCCACAAAGCAACACACCCTAGCTCCCCTGTCCCAGAAGGCGATTCGGTGTCGGTACATTCGTGAAAATGCAGCCCCGCGTGCTGCGATTTCACCGTCCCAATTTCGTAGATGACTTTTGAGAATCTTTTTTTGCGTAGACTGTACATCACTGTGTTAGAGACGTGTCCTCGACTGTTCATTTTTCTTCTACTTTGAAACTTTACTCTTTTCCTGCCTCAGTTTCGGGCTAAGAACAAAATGGTTAACATCCACCAGCTCGCCTGCGCAATCACTACATTATTATTTGGGTTATGTTTTGCCCGTGTAATAATATCTTTTGCCGCATTTTCAGTGTGCAGCTTTTATTTTCGCTAATAAGGCACTCTTATATGACTAAAAGCCCGTTGTTACGACGGTCGACCCACGCGCGTTGCCTTTGGTTTTGTGCTTCGACACGTGCCCCCGATGACCTTCATTTGCAACGTCAGGAGAAGAGTGCTACGGCCTTAGCTTCTAGTAGGTGTTGAACAGCGGCGGCGTACTGAAGTGCTTTAGTGGCGTACATGGGGAAAGGAAGAGGGGAGCAAATTAAAGAGCCTTCCCGTGTGTGATGACTGACGGGGAGAGGCAGAGCATTGCCTCTGCTCAAGAGTGGGGTTTTTCGTCTGTACATGAGCATTTTTTGCCGGGAAAGGGCGCTAACAGCTACAGCTGTTAGATTAACCACTGCCCAGCCGACGAAAGGAAAACACGTCACCCGTTAGTAATGGAAACACAGGGAAAACCAGATTTCTTTGAGGGAGCCATTTTTATAGTGCGGGAAAGATCAGCTACAGCAGCCGTTGCCAAGGCGTGCTTTCAAAACGCCGCTACACTTTCTCAAGCTTTCACCGGCGTTGCATTAGTGTGCGCAAGGCGTCTCTATTTGAATGTTGCAACCGATAACTGTCTGCCGAAGCTCCCCTGATATAAAAATTGTGGAACGATCGAACCACTCTCGCTGTCGGTACATTCGTGAAAATGCAGCCCCGCGTGCTGCAGTTTCACCGTCCCAATTGCGTATATGACTTTTGATAACCTTCTTTCGCGTAGACTGTACAACACTGAGTGTCTGATTGCAGCTTTCATGGGTATTGTTTCTTTCAGGAGGGAATCTGGAAGACCTCGGAAGTATTGACGGAGTCGATATGTGGGAAGCATTGCGTACAGGAACTGAATCCAAGCGTGAAGCTGTGGTGCACAACATCAATGGCAGATTCAACCACTCCGCTATTCGGGATGGCGATTACAAACTGATTGAACGAACATTCAGAATAAGCCTATATGACCAGAGATTTGAGACTGTTGGAGGCAAGCGCCCGTACGATGACCTTGACACTTTGATGAACAACTCCACGGCTGCCAACGCGTTGAGAGCCTTTTATAAAAAGAAGCATCTGAAGTACCGGGAAAACTGGAGAAGAGACGCCAAAATTGACTGCGGTGAAAAAACCTCAACTGTAGACATTCATCAGGGGATATACTACTTATTTAACATAAAGGAAGATCCCTGCGAAACGGAGAATTTGGCAAAGAAGCCAGAAGAGGTAAGTGAAATCAATAGTTAGGGTGACCATAATACTCGGAGTAAAAAGCGGGTTATAGAGGGGGGGGGGGGCGGGGGGGGGGGGGGGGGGAGGGCATAATTGCGTGAATTATATTTGTTGCTTCTCTTCACAAAACACATTTCATCATAACTTTTTGGAGAAAGTTGTATTTCTAAATCCGTGGGATTTCGAACTACTCTTAAAACCGGGGAAAGATGTAGGATAAATGCAAACGAGGTTCCCTTCAGACAAACCTCCCGTGCCATCACTTTGAATAAAACAAAAGAGCTGAATCACTACAATCGGTACTGAGCATCAATAAAACTGTAACCCGAAATACCATTTTTTTTTTTTTAGACTGAGCAGGGGAATCGAAACGACAGGCTCACTTTTTGCATGCAGACTCGTGTTACTGGGCAGAAGCATGTTCTTTGGTTTTGTCAGTCACTTGGCACTTCAAACCTCATCATTTGTTTCGTAATATAATTATATTTCTTTATTTTCCCCGTCGGCTTCGGTCTGTCTTTAGGTGCAGTGACCGCCTGATCTAGGATGCCGTCTCGCCACGACTTTGCTATCGACCGGGCTTTGTCGGCTTCCGGCCTCTTCGCGGCTGTGAAGCTTTCCCCGACCAGTTTTTGTGTGCGACTAAGGTCAACGTAGGGTCAGAATTAATGAGCCTGTTTTTTCTTTTGTTTTTACGGTAGATCATAACCTTAATAACATTGTTTTGCCCCCAACACAACCCATGCATTTATATGTCAATTTTGTGGGAGGAATGCGACGGCAGGAGTGGGACAGTCCACATATTTCATTAGTGCATATTGCCAAAATGTTGACGTACTGCTAGACCGATGATGCCGTGGTTGCGGTACTTGCAACTCTAAAGGCGTACCTGCTTGGCGTGGTGTACACGACTTAAGTCAGTGGTTGTCAATTCGGCACGCAATAGTAAGTAGCACACATTCGTTTTGCTCGATTCTTGAACCGAAATGGTTTGGCCAACAGCTGTAATAAACAAACATTGAAAACACGTGTTAATAGATTGCTTGTAACCACTGCTATTTTAACCTTAACATCTCACTCTTTGCTAGGAATGACAACTTACACTGTTAAAATGATTTTGGGAGAAAGGAAGCAGCTTCACCCGTCCCTTTAAAAGGATGTGTGCTCTGAATTTTATGTAAACACCAAAGTTAACCAGCAATATTGGTTTATTTATTTATTTATTTCATAATACCTTGAAGGCCCCGTTACAGGGCATTACACAAGGGATGGGTCACTAATAGTTTCAATGTAAAAACAGTAATACAAGCTCGTGAGCAGGAACACAATGAATGACAAACTGAACATTTTAATACAAAACATAGGGATGCAAACCGGTGAGCAGCAATAAAAATACAAATAAACACAACAAATAATAAAAAAGTAGATGAAGGGCACGATATTAACATGTTAAGACTCAGCATTATTTGCACAGGGATCTAAATGTTCACCTAGTAGCTTTTTAAATACATCCACATTGTTAGTTGTAACTATGTTATCAGGTAAAGCATTCCATTCTAATATTGTCAAAGGAAGAAAAGAATTGGCGTAGGAGGTGGTGGAGACAAATATAGGCTCTATTTTACAGCTGTTGTCTAGTCTTGGGAAAAACGAAATGGGACGTGGGAGTAAAATTTTTCTAAGCGTAGGGTTGTGGTGGTAGATCTTGAAAAACTGCGTCAATCGAGATATCTTCCTTCTGAAAGCGAGCTCAGGAAGATTCGCTCGCTCTCGCAAACCAGAAACACTAGTGTAAAAAGAATAATCAGAATAAATAAATCTCAAACCTCTGTTTTGCACCCTTTCAAGTTCTCGTTTGAGGTAGTTCTGCCACGGGGACCATACGGATGCAGCGTACTCTAGCTTGGGGCGGACTAAATTTAGGTATGCGATCTGTTTCACTTTAGGGGGGGCGAGTCTTAAGTTCCTTCGTAGAAAACCCAGTGTGCTATTTGCCTTAGCGATTATCTGATTAATATGAGTGGTCCATGTTAAATCGCTTGTTATATGAAGACCAAGATATTTGTAGGATGAAGCACTACTGAGTACAGTGTCGTTAATATTGTAGGTGTAAGAAGATAGTGACAAAATACGAGAAAAGGTTAGCACTTTACATTTATCTAAGTTCGACGACATCTGCCACGTGTCACACCAATGAGCAATGGATGATAAGTCGGTTTGCAGGGATGAATGATCGTCAGTATTCGTGATTGTGCGATAAATTACGCAGTCATCTGCAAAAAGGCGGATGGTGGAAGAGACACAGAGAGGGAGATCATTAATGTAGATTAGAAAAAGAAGTGGTCCGAGTACGCTTCCTTGAGGGACGCCTGATGTTACGTTAGTTCGAGATGACTCGGAGTTATTTGCGACGGTGTATTGAGAGCGACCAGAAAGAAATTGTGATATCCAGGCGATGATAAGGGGGTCAATTTTAAAATACTGAAGTTTGGTCAAAAGACGATTATGAGGTACTCTATCGAAGGCTTTTGCAAAGTCAAGAAAGATGGCATCGACTTGTTTTTTATGGTTAAGGTTAGAGTGAATGTTATGTACGAATTCTAGGAGTTGCGTTTCACATGATAGTCCTTTCCTAAATCCATGTTGATTAACGTTGAGAAGGTTATTGGACTCATGGTATTTTATGACGTTTGAAAATATGATGTGTTCAATAATTTTGGACGGGATACTAATGAGCGATATGGGGCGATAATTAAGAGGTGAATTTCGGTCTCCGGACTTGTGAATAGGGATGACACGGGAGATTTTCCAGTCAAGGGGAATGTAACCAGAAGCAAGGGATTCACGGAAAATGTCAGACAGGAAGAGAGATGATATGTGTTTGGTGTTAAATAGTATCTTGGAGTTGATGAGGTCATCCCCTGTACTTGAGGTAAGTTTCTGATTTTCGATAGTTTTTAGGACACCGAACGAGTTAATAGGAATCGCTTCCATTTGTGGATGATTAGGAATATGAAGCTTCGGAACAGTGTTAAGGTTTTCGTTGGTAAATACAGAACAAAAATATTTATTTAGGCAATCAGCACACTGCTTGTCAGTTAAAGCCAGTCCTTCGCTGTCAGTGAATGCGAGAGGGGTGAGAGGTTTAGGATTGATCATATTCCAGAACTGTTTAGGATTATCAGACAATACTTTTAATAGGTCTTTTTCATAAAATTTCGATTTTGCTTTTGTAATTTCTTGCCTGTATAATTTTTCACATTCTTCATATTTATTCTGTGCTTCCTTATTGGCGGGTGATAGCTTAGCTCTTTTAAATAACCTCTTCTTTTTGTTGCCTATTCTCCTAATTGCTTTAGTAAACCATGGATTTTGTCCGTCGGTTTTAATATTAACCAGGGGTACGTATTTCCGGGCTAAAAAGGATAACTTATTTTTAAATTGGATCCAATTTTGTTTAACTGTGCGCAAGCGAAATGATTCACGAAATTGATCATAAAAGATTTCCAATTCTGCGTTAATTGAAGCGTAGTCAGCTTTATTATAATCTCTAATCTGTTTCTGGTGAGGGCATCTGCGTTTAATAGGGAAGGAAAAATTAAAATGTGCTATGAGGTGATCACTGAGCCCAGGAAGTAATGAAAGGTTATTAATAATACCAGGATTTGTAGAAAGACAAAGGTCCAGTATGTTGCTGCTCTGAGCAGCGATTCTTGTTGGTTGATTAATAAGCTGTTGGAGGTTGAAATTTAAACACATATCCATAAATTGTTTTGATTCATTATTGCTGGTAGATAAGGTGTCCCAATTAATGGCGGGATAGTTAAAATCTCCGAGAAGTATAGGAGTTGCTTTGGGAAATTTTGAGCATAAGTTGCTAAGACATTCGTGTAATAAAGGAACAAAATCTCTACTCATGTCAGGTGGTCTGTAGCAAAGGCCAAGCAGTATCTGTGTTGAAGGTGATGAAATATGAATCCAAACCATCTCCAAGCCAGTCGCTGTAACCACTAATGACGATGACAAGCGGTTGTTTATCGCTATCAGTACTCCCCCACCCCTTCTGTTAATCCTATCGCATCTGTATATTGCATAATTCATACTGGAAGGAAATAATTCAAAGTCATGAACCTCGGGGGTCAGCCACGTTTCGGTCAGAAGAACGAAATCGGCTTCCAATGAATCGATAAGAGAATACAGATTGTCACGTTTAGGAAGCAAGCTCCTTATGTTAGTAAACAAAACCGAGTAACAGCAGAATGTTTCGTCAGCTCGCTTTATTGACGAAGAAGAAGGAACAAAAGAGACGTGCTGTTTTTCCTTGGGTTGCTATTCGCTCCGGGGAATGACACATTGGTTAGTAAAATCATAAACAAAACAATTTTCATTTGTGTATAGCTTATCAAATCGCAGCCTAAAACGACACTTTTTTGGTTTCACAAATGCAAGCAGTTCCCTTCTGGCAACACGTACGTTTGCCGGAAAGTCTTCGCCAATAGATGTAGTCGTGCCCTTCAGTTTGAAACCGGCCGAAAGAATGGTTTGTACGTTTTTGAAGAAACAAAACTTTACAATGACTGGTCTTTGTTTTTCGGGGCTGAAGGAGCCAAGGCGATGTGCTCTCTCTATGGCAAGATCATCCAACTCAATACCAAGTTTTTCGGCGCACACTGAGCGGACGAGCTGCTCTGAATCGGCCCAGGTTTCTGCTGCCTTGTCAGGAAGACCATAAAACAGCAAATTACACCTGCGCGAGCGACTTTCTGCGTCGTCGCAGCGTGCTTCTAGGTGCCTCAGTTGAGATTTGGTGACACTGGTTCCAGTATCCTCAGCACGAACCGGCGCAGGATTTAACTTCAATGAAGCCAGCTCAGCTTCGAGGTTTGTGACTCGGGAGGACAGACTAGCTACGAGTATGTCCGTTTGCGTCTGCTTTTCTCCGAGTACTTTTACTTGGTCTATCAGAGCAGTCTGTCCGGTGTCAAGTTTTTGTACAATCATGTGAATACTTAACA